AGATTCTTAGGTTCCTGTCTTGTGTAGCATCAGGGTCGGCGTGGGCGCTCGAACAGGTGGAAAGCATCCTCCACGAAGGCTGTGACGCTCTCGTTGGGCCGTGTCCTGGAGAGAATCAGAGATTCGGCTCGCTCTCGTCGATGTTTGCTGACAAACGAGCCCTTCAGTTGAATCTTGCGCCCATCGCATGCCGTTATGAAGGATTCATGATTCTCAAATCTGTAGCTGGTGGTTTCTTGCATAGCAAGTATCGGTTCAGCGAGTGCTGGTCATTTGCGCACTCGTTGTGGCGATCGACACAGTCATATTGGTCAATGGAGTCCCCGACGTCTCCATACATTTCGCCGTGAAAGGATGTCAAAGTGCGAGGTGCGACGGGCATGCAAACAAAGGTGGAACAGACGCGGTCTTCTGTTACGGCTTTGTCATTGTTGGCTTATGCCGCTTCGGTTTTTTTGGCAGGAAACAAAATTTCGATTGCTCGGTCTGGTAGCTGTGACTGACTCGGAATTCATGTTCTTTGTGTTTTGTTTGTGGGATTCGCTCTTGTGGGACTCGCCCGTCTTGCAGTTGTTCTGCTGGGCTCAGGATTGGACTTGGTTCACGGCTCCCCGGGGGTGTAAAACGCGGGACAGTCTTCCCCTTGTGCCCTGTTGCTGAGCAACTCGGCTGAAGTGCCTCCAGGGTGCCCACAGAGTAAAGGGCTAAGGGTAAAGTACTCAGCACCTCAACCAGAAGACACGATGACAGCCGAGCATGGCCTGGAACGTTTCAGTATAGTAAAGATTGATAAATAAAGTACTGTACCAAACATCCATGACAATACAACAGAACTGAGAGAAGAGTCTATCCTCTCCAGTAAAAAAGCTGCATTGCTTTAGTGGCATTCTGTCCAAATATGTCTCGTCCTTCGGTGTTTTGACGACCGCCGTGGACGAACTGAGCTGAAATGGATGTCGAACCACTTTTCTGGTAATGAGCGGCTGCAGACTTTCGCCGCAAAGCGGGTCCATGAAGGTTGCGATTTGTGTAACGACTGTTGATGGATAGTTTGTGTCGACGAAACGTGCGGCAAACCAGCGGATTCAATACCAACTGCAACACCTGTGCTCTGTGAAAGTCCACGTCTACGCCAGAACAATTCAGGAAGCAGCACAGCATCGGCTAGCTCGGCTCGGGAACTACCACATTCAAGGCAGTTCTTTGGTGCGCCGCACAAACAAGGTCAGCCTTCACTCATTTGAACGAAGCGTTGCCAGACTTGCAGATTGCCAAACACTACACATGCAATTTCCGTAGCTAAACTTTGTCTACATACATTGCACACGCTTGACTGCAGAAATAAAATATTCTGATAGTCAACGAGAGCACCAAAAGGTCAAGTTAAGCCTTATCCTGGCGATATCCGAATCAATGCGAGGTTGGAGCAACGCAGGGCCGATTGTTTCTTTCGTGGCAATATCAGCAATATCCCCGTCGATAACCAGCGAAATGCATACCCTTTCTCCGTATTGCAAGTTATACCTACGAGATAGATCATGCTCAAGTCTAAAGTCGCTTTCGACCGGCTTCACATGACGGCCCCCGCATCTAAAATCAACTCGCTGAGACCAACAACAACGAACAACGCATCCGACAAGCTCCAGGGAATGCTCCAGCCCAGCTGGGGCCAGCCGTTGCCTGTGCGCTGCCATCTTTCCTGTGACGTCACGTACTTGGTGTGGTAACGGGAGATGTAGTCACCTTTGAGTACAATGGCAGCGGCCTGGGGGAGGAGGGGCGTTCCTTCCGTTTGCAGACCGGAACGCTGGTTTATCGCTTTAAGTCTTTAAGTCCCTCTACCTTGTTGAGTTATTATAATATCGGCTGGAGGTTCAACTGGCTCTATTTTGCTGCGGCAAATTGAAGCAGACAGCAACCAGTCAAAAAGTGACTACCGGTAATGCATTTCTATGGGAAAAAGTGAGTGCATTTTTTTCCTGGCACTCGATTATAAGAGCGAATATCCCGAATATTTTGTACATACTGGGTAGCTTGGAAGATTTCTCAGTCCCGCCGACGAAATAATTAGTCAGTTCCAACAGTTTCCTTTTAAATTAACTGCATTAAAAACGGTGCTAAAACGGCTTCGTGCAAGTATTTATGTGTAATGTCGGACAGTATAAGCGCAAACGCGACTTCGGAGCTTTTCAGGATGGGGGATATACGTGCGTGTCAAACTAGCGAAGGATATCTAGAAAACTAAGAGAGACGGCAAGAACTACGCCGTAACACCGGATCCTTGTGCATGTATGATAAAAATTAATTGCAAGCCACCTAATAACGTCCGATTTTCAATACGTACTGCTTTGTTCTTTCTGCAAAGATGCTTGTTCTACGTTCAAAAAGCCACCCACACGCTCAAAATGTTTGAGAACAAGTGTCTGATAAATTCTGCCCGGCATTGAAAATAACAAAAGGAAACTCAAGTCATGACTTACGTTCGTCATGAAAGTTTTAACTACTTTAAAAAATGCAACTTGGGTCATTTTTGTGTAATGACAGGACTGTCACATTAGCAATATATAAGCGCCCCCAAAATGCTGGCGAGACTTGAACACACACACTATATCGCTTTCGATTGTTATTTTGCTTAGAATCGTCGCTTGTTTTTGCACGTTTGCTCTGCAACAAGGGCTTGGGCCTGAAATATAGCGAATTTAAGCATTGGTCACACATGAATAAAAATGCGTTATCTAAAACAACATCACTTTTACAATGCTGATGAAGGTACCTATTCTTTCGTACGATCAAAATAACAAAATAGTTACATGTTATTTTCCGGCGAAGAGACAAAATATACGCGCGTTTTTACATAGGAATGGACAGGAAAACCGCAAAAGTAGACTGGTTGCTCTCTGCTTCAATCTGCCTCCCCGAAGTCTCATAAACACCAGTGCCAGTTGAACCTCTGGCGTGCATTATAGTAACGCTATGACCGCAAGGAGATTTAAGTATGGCAGGATCGGGCATGACGTCATGCCCAGTGACGCCGGAAAAAGAACCCAATAAGACTGCCTTGCGCACTGATGAACTCACATCCAACCTAAATCAAACCTAAGCTCCGTCTGCTCCGTCTGCCCCATGCCTGCGGTCTGCTTCGTCTACTCGCTGTCGCGGCTGGCTTTCGATACGCTTGGCGCATCCAAAGAAGTTTTGATTCGAACCCGCATTCTCATCGCGCTGGAGGGAAACGAACACCTGCTGGAAGCAGGGCTTGACAGCTTTCTTAACCCACAGTGCCGTTCTCAGCGTTCGTGCGTACGACGACTGACACGCTCGTCTTCCAAAGCCGGGCTATGACGAGTCGCTCTAGACGACGCTCCTGGCGCGATATGGAGGGCGACCGCTACACGCCTACTGGTCAGGCAGGTGTTTGGCTCAAAATCTCGCCTGTTCGACACAAATACGGTGGACGCTGCCTTGAAATCATAGAGCAAACAGCAGCGTTGCCACGGCAATGCCATGGCAGCCCGGATGTTTGCCCATATTTTCTCGGCTGCGTGCGTTATCTGAGTTTCCTACACACGATGAGAATAAGCCCAGTCTGTGGTAAGTTTTGGGGAATTTTGTAAACTAAAATGCACAATAAATGGCACGTCTTAATAGCCGAGGGCCTTTAGGTCTCGGCACCTTAGCCGGCAACAAAAATTGTTGCCAGTCTGAGAGAAAAAAAAAGATCCTGTACAAACAATTAACAAAAACACAAGAGAGATTTTCGATGCTTTTAGCACCAGGTTTGCAGGAAGAGCAAGATGCATTGATGCACCGTCATTACATCTGACACTCAAAAAGAAAATTGAGTAGATTACGTCATCAAGGCGAGAAGAATACACATTTGTGTTTTCCCCCATTAAAGATCAGTTGATTGTAGCGGTTTGTTTGTCTCTCCTTTTTTGTCCCGTTCCCTAGAGATTTTATTTTCGCAAATTGCACCAACTATACTCCGTTCAACCCTGCACTGTTGCCGCAGGGGAAGCTAAGTCGTCGTTGGACCAGTTTTGTCCTTCTTTAGCCACGTGATCACACTCCCATCGATACCCACGCACAGAGAGCCGGGTCAGGTGATGAGCGGGAGGTGGCTATTGGTCAAGTGGGAATGTAGCTCCTACCGGAGTCTCAGCTTGTAGGTGAATTTTGTATATCAGTAGTGAAAGGTAAGCCAGTTGGTACATGATCTCTTTTGAGTACAGCCCACTTTTTTTATTGTTTTACATATATCAAAAGTATGAAAGCGACAAAATCCCCCGTACTGCTCGTCCAGGCACGGGAAATGTCAAGGCAAATTGTTATTGGACTGACCGGGCCTGGGCGACCTGCCGTCATCGAGCGTGGAGGGTTGGGGTATTTCATCAGCGCGTCAATGCGTTGATTTATGGACAGTCCTAACAACCCGCCTCCCGGAAAACCGTGATATAAAACTGGCTACTTATCTTTATCTGATCGGCCACCAGGACGACAATCTTATAAGCCGGTTTCCCCTTCCAACTTCCTCTTTCTCCCCCCCCTCCCCCCAAACACGGCACATCTCGTTCGATGGGAAAAACAACGGTAATGAGGTTTCTTGATGCTTTAAATTATCACGCGTTCTTCGCCAACACCTTATGAAACACGAGCTATCTACTCAATTTGGAATGTTTGAAACCCAATTTCTGAACAAATATGATTTAAATATTGTTATCATATGAGGTAAACTTGAATCAGGATAAAATATTAATTTTGTTTAAATGTTTTATGAATGGTAAATCTAAATTTATCAATGAAGATTACTTCAGATTATTTCTGGAATAAGAAGGCTCATCATTCATTAATGCTTGCGTTATATATTCACTAATTTTATTTCAATATTTTTATGTAAACATAAGTGCATAACAGCATCTTAATTAAAGCGCTGTAGGTTCATTGTTTCGCTCTCTTGGGGAACGCGGGGCAAGTTCGGTCAGCGACGAAGGCAGTCAATTTCAGTAATAACCTCCTCGTGTGTCGATGACAGTGTCACCTAAATCTAAGCAGCGACCTTCGTCGCTGTCACCAGCATGTACACAGATGCAGCCATCAGTGCATCCGCACCACTCTCCGTCTGTCTTTGTACACTGAAATGAAAAGAAAATTAGATGTGCGATGAGTGTGAGGCATTCATTTCCGGATTTGATAAATTCGTATTTATATTCATCTGAATTTTGGCATTAGTGAATCACGGATTCCCTCTATAGCATTGAAACGCTTGAAGTTTATATGCTATATGTGAGTCATTTACACACACACAAAAAAAAAATACGGAATTACAATTCTCATTGCGTTACACAGAAATAAACATCAAAAGGTAATGCTCTTTAGGAAATTTCGTCACATGTCTCTCTTCAGAGGAACCCAGCTGGATTTAAACTTTTTTTTATAGGCGGAATATTATATATTATTACAAGCGATCTAGTTTGTACGTGCATCTTTTATTTAATGATCTATATTGCCAGAAATGCTTATCCCGCATGTCGAATACAGACGGTGATCTATTCGATGCTATAGAAATACGTTATGCTAAGTAAAAAAGAAACAAAAAAAACGTACACATATACAAGTAGACAACGGGGTTGAAAGTGCCACTCTGATTTTAGAGGGCCATTAACACACAATTAAGGACACCATTACGTCTACTGCCTATATACCGAAATATCTATACTAAAACAATTGTGACGAGCCAAACAATATGCTTCAAGGCATAAAAAATGTTTATGCATTCTTTTTATTCACCCTAAAAGCGCTCATTGGCATTGCGTTTGAAGGAACATATTAAAATGATTTGAAGAAAAAAACAAGCGATACAAATCAATAAAAGAAAATATATTGTGCATGCATAAAACACAATATGCCTATGAACACCGCAACTTTCGGCTGTAATTGAGTACATAGATTTATACATGAGTACACTATAAGAATATGTGCATGAAAGAACCCTAGTGAAAAAACCTTTGTGTAAATAAGTTCTTGGTCCAATACACGGGTAAGATAAAATATTATCATATACGATAATATAAGAAACACAAGTATGTACGAGATGTGATAAGACACTGAGAAGTTTCTTATAACTTTATACGTAAATTTATATTTTTATTATATGTTCTTAATACTTTCTCATTTGCTCTTATATGATGTTATTTGAGCATGTGTTTGTAGGACCAAAATTTACTTATTCATATAATATTTTTTTACTAGAGGAAAACCGATTAAGGACATTCAATTTAGCCTACCTAAAAAAACATTATAATTTGTTGGCATCATTAGACTGATGGTCAGTGATGGAGGTAATTTCTTTGTAAAAATAATTTACATTTAAGATATCTCTTTCATTCAATCTCTGGCTAACGTAATAAATGATGTTTTAATTTGATAAATTAAACTCTCAAAGATAGCTTAAAACTGAAATTCTCAGTCTTAACTTGGTACCGAAGTTTAATCGACTTAATTCAAATCTGACGATGTACTCTTCACCTGAGACAATTTTTATATAATCCTCAAGGTGTGATGACTACTTACGCTTCGAGTATATAATATGACTTCTGAACATTTCGGCGATAATTGGTTTGAACAATTTTAGGTTACAAATTGATACAAAATTTCTAGTGGAATAGCTATTTTCTAATAGTCAAGCCTTATTTGACATGCCTGTATACAAAAAAAAACAAAAACATGTGGGTCAAGGTTATTTTCAAAAGTGTATAGTTGTAGTAACGCCATCTCAAGGTTTTAACTGAAAATTGAAATGTTCCAACTTTAAAATAAAAATATTTTTTTTAGTTCGTAAGACGAGAGTTGCGGCAGTTCGTAAAACTGAAAGGAAGCGTCTCGCGATGTCGCTATTTCAATTCGTAAAACAAATTATAATACCTTTCTTTTGGGATCTCATCAAAACCAAACATGCAATAGAGTGTTTATAAAAAAAACGCGTTTTAAATTGTGAGTTTAGCTGAGCTTTATGTAGCGTATGACCATAGAATTTATTTACTCTTTAACTACATTTAAGGTTATCTTAAAGAATTAACATGTCTCTCCAGGAAGGTTAATTCGTAATTCAGAGGTCTAGTGTAAGTAAGTCTAGTGTAAGTTTAAAAACTAATAAAGCAATATTTTCTCATTTACACTATTTTACTAAATTAAAGTTACAACGGGAATACAAAAACGCCCAAGAAATTTAAGCTTTTAGATGTAATTAATGCTCGTTAAACAGTCTGACTCCTGCACATTGGTTTGAACGAGCCAAACACCTAGGAATAGGAATAATAAGACTGTATTTTGATGCTTCCTCGTCTGCTCATATATGGAAGCAAAATTGTCTAATATAAGTGCGCGTTTCAGTCCCAGATTCCGCATACTGCGTAGTATTAGAAATGTCTTATTTCGGTCTTGGAATCACAAAAATGAAGCCCTCATCTATTTTGCGTAACTATGCTCCCGTTCGCCAGAAATGATATGTTTCTTTTAAACGAGCTGACTGGTAACAAACCATGATTAATGTTTTTACGCACTCGGCTTATTGGCGTATTTGAAGCCCAACACGGTGAGAGGCCTTTTAATATATTTTTCCGTAAAGCTTTCCTTACATACACATGCTGAGAAAATGCTTCCTTATAAGCTATTGTCCCACAAAGAAAATTAAAGGCCACTGCAGGGCTTAAAATAAATTGTGAAGATTGCGAACTTTTTCCTACAAAGAAGAACCCATGGTATCGATCATTCTGCATCAGCGACATACGGGCGACTGACCCGAAGCACTGCATAACCAATCATGTATGTTCTGAACCAGAACACCCGATGACAAACAAGGAGTCTTGTACACGTTACTAAAAAAGTAATCGATTACTATTACTATTACTCTTGGCTAAAAAGTATTCGATTAGATTACTTGATTACTCGACAGCAAAAGTAATTGGATATTACTTTAAGAAGTGACCGTTACTTTTCCGGTTACTTTGTTGCGTGAAGACTTACATCTTTAGCGCTCATAACTATGAACTACTTCCAACCTCGAAACTTTGCTTGTCACAAAGACCAAGTACGGGAAATATTGATCTTGACGTATATTTGAACTGGCTTTGTTATATTTTGCACTCGCATTAGCCGTTCTTCGGTTCTGGTTCTCCTATGGGCTGTGAGTAAGTACCGTAAGCAGGATTGTTTTTTTTTTTATTTCTGTGTGTGTGTGCGTAAGGGGCTAGTTTGAACGAAGGACTTACAAAGCTACATTCTACTCCCTCAAACGTCGCCCTGAATGGCCTTTGTCACGCACTGGGGCTTTCCTGGGGCTTTCCTGGGGCTTCCCAATCCCAGTACCAGCTCGAAAATAAAAAACAAAATCGGATATTCTACAGAAACTATACACACAAAGGGGTTGACCTCGTTTCCTACAGCTCCGCAAAAGTGTCTTGTTTTTACTATTGGGAAAAAAGAAGCAAATATTATATTTGTAATTTCAGAAAAAAAGGTGTGTCCGGGGACCCGTGGAAAAATAGTAAGGGTTAGAAGTAATTTTTATTACTTCAAAAAGTAATCAGATTGCTCTTGTGATTACTGCCTAATAAACGTAATCAACTGATTACAAAATTACTCAAAAAGTAATCGATTACAAGTAATTTGATTACTTGTAATGCGTACAGTACTAGTCTGCCGCCAAGAATAAACCGAAACTTTCAAGAACAGCATTGATAGAGAAACCAAAAAAGAGGCATTAAGGGGTCTCATCTCGTTTCTCTTCCAACCGCGTACCCAGCCACCTCCGTCAATGTACGCGGCAAAGTGTTAATAAAATGTTCACCACCTAGTATATATTCATAAATGAGCTTAAAATTATGGTATTTTGTTTAATAATTCCACTTTTTACGTCAGACTTACAATGCAATAAAAGCTAACTCTAGAACATTCGCGCACAGGCGGTACGGCTGCACCCATAAATAACTTAGAAGTTTCACGTCTTGTAATAGTATTTTTCACGATCAAACATAATCAATGAGTAAAACAAGACTACTCCACGAAGGAAAAATGTTTGTTTAGAACGCTGCTAAATTAACCTTACGTTTGTTTCGCAATATTTTAACTCGATTGACTTCCCAGATTCTTCGGAGGCACTTGGTTCTTTTGATTCAGCAGAAACTGAATGGAGGCTGGAAAGAGGTTTAGATTTGTTATTAGGTTAATATTCTAGGGTGAGGCACTATAGTAAAAGATAATTTGGAGTCTTTAAGAAACCACTTGGGACAATAGTCAGGTTTCTAGAGATTCAAAAATTACAACAGTACGTATATTTATTAAGTAATAATACTTGGTTTATACAATACTATGTTTTTCAGTACATGTGCATATGTTTGTTTTAGGCTTTAAAGATTGTTCATTGCAGTCGTGAAAGCTGCACTGACGTGGTCATGTGAGTTTTACGGCGAGGAGGACATAATGTAAGAGGCTGATCGTCATGATACGTTGTATATTTGCTAGAATAAGTTTAACTGCAATTGTAGAAAAATAATGATATTATTCAAAGTTTTACTTTGCTGAGCATCATCCAACATCAATAATTCTGTAAATACGATAATAATTTACAGCGCCTGGGAGGAGCGATAGTGCAGTAACCTTAAAACGAATTGTAGGTCCGCTGTCTTATAGTTAGTAAAGCAATCATGTTTATTTTTGCTAATCTAAAAGTTATTGTAACATTTTAGATAATTATCTCATTTATGGTAATGATTACCTCACTACGTTATGTCTCCTTGGCCGTGTAACTTCCTTGCACTGACCGGATGTCCCTTTCACGTCCGATTTTACACGAAAATTTTACCTCAAAAAGCCACCTATGTAGCATAGCGATTGTTTGATTTCAATTTGAACATTCCTTTTCTAGATCGGGTAGAGTGTTACAAGGACACCTTAATCGCCAAGCAGTTATGGTGGTCGACATACTTAGATAATGAATTACTCCATTGGTAACATGGCTAATTAACAATACTCTATAACTATATTTTTACTATCGGTTTTATGGGTTACACTGCCACTGCAGTACAGAGGGAACTCACAAACTAAAGGCTAAATTAATTTAGAAAATCTTGAAAATAGCACCACTTCGAATAATTCTCTGTCCTGTATTCGTGTCTTCGTCCATTGAATACAAGATATGGACAAAAAATTAGCCGACCTCCCATACATAATGAGCCGTGGAAGGGTGCCGTACTCGTGGCAATCCTTCATTATGTCGGTCGCGCAACCTTAATAAGAGAATTCAATAAGGAGAAACACGCAATATAATGACGAATGACAACGAACGACAACCATTATGTAATAAACGGCGGAGCGAGTTGGTTTCCGGACCAAGGCGAGAGGATGACGACACTTTCACGAAGAAAGATCCTTAGTCTGAGTGCTACAATACCTACAGATCCGCCTAAACCTTCTTCCATCAGTGCTATGCTGGGAATTTCAATAGAGAAGAAAAAAGATCGGTGTTACCCTTCGAGAGTGCTCATTCTAAAACGGTTAAACTTGGCATTGTCAAGCCCCTTCTGGTTTCCTTTTTTTGTTTTGTTTTAAAACTTGAGAGGCTACACAAGTGACACGCTAGAAAAATGCCCAACTTGGACAAAGGTCTTGCAAAGGTAGAGGCCCAACTTTGGTCTCTAGTTTGGCGATCCTAGGGCGTTCCAAATTTCGACTTTTCTCTGGTCCGCCAAAGGAGCGCCGAAGTCAATGCCATACTTGGCCCAAACTCCCAAAGCAACGCCTAATTTAGGTATTTCGGGCATGCCAAAGTTTTTGTTTTCTCTGGTTCGCCACAGTTGTGCCAAAGTAAGTGCCAGACATGAGCAATCACTGCGAAGTAAATCCTTATTTGCGGATTTGCGGATTCGGCGCGTGGCGAATTTCGGCTCTTTTCTGGCTAGGCACTGGCGTGTCAAAGCAGTGACAAAAGTGCCAAAGAGGACACAGAGGACTGCCGAAGTTCGAAAACTCTCTGGTATGCCACAGAAGTGCTCTTTCACGAGCTCCAGAAGACATTTAAATTATATAAGCGTTGTAAACGCGATGGTCAGATCTCATCTCCTCCGTTCCGAAGCAGCACGGCGATACTTGGCAGTGTAGTGCGATTACTGGCTGAAAGTCGATTCCAATATCGGCCAAAGGCCTATAGACATTTGCGCGTTATCGTGCGAATACTTTACGATGCGTCTGCTCCGTATTGGCCGGATGTCGTGCAAGTTTGTGTTGTTTAGAACGCTGCATATTATTTGTCGCATATCAATACCATACACGGACGAACAAAAGTATTTTCTAACGCTCGCAGAAGTTTATTAAATCACTATCATTACGCACAGCATATTCTCGACATATTTACAAAGGTCATACTTCTCTGCAAAATGAAAAACAAATTAAGAAATAGAATAAGCATTAATTTTATGCAAAACAAAACCAAAAAAAAAAATATAAAAAAAACTGCGAAGATTCGGAGGAAACCAGACCTGCTATCAGAAGCAAGCTTTCAGTGTACTTACTAATAAAAACTATATCATGTTATCCTTGAAGGATGAATAATCCGACTAGGCCAGCCCAAAAATACAGTCGAGAAAGAAGGTTAAAAAATTTGTTGAGAGTTGAAAGAATGTACTCGTCTGTGTTTCGTCCTCTCTCTGTTTTATACTTTCTGTTATCTAGTATCCTGGCCGTTTGCAACCAAAAAGCACGACCGCGTCTGCAACGTCCGAAGGCAACAGAGCACTAAGAGCTCACTTGGAAATAGTGATGCGAGGGCTCGGAAAAAAACCGGAAATTTTGGAAAAAAAACTGTTTTTTCTGGTTTTTTCCCCAACATAGTATTCGGGAAAAAAACCGAAATCCAAGTTTTTGAAGTATTAACAAATCTATTAAGCAAATTTCTGCAACGAACGTTATAATTGATATCGCTGACCTCATCGAAAGGGAAAATGGCCATCACGCTCCTCTGAATTGAGTTTAGCCGGCAGAGCAGGCGGAAACTTAATCACGCTATACTAAACATAATACATCTTTCAGCCCCTATGAAAACAAAACAGCGCGACGGCGGGGTAAGTGAGGAAACACAATCACCTCGGGTTGTCTGCCGCCTCGCCCCGTCGTTGCACCGTTTGCGTTGTCTAAAAACTATGCAGGAACCATCCCGAATGACCGTTGCTTTACTGTTCAGTGTGGACGCCTTATACGGAGGAGAAATGACAGTGCTGTCCGAGGCTTGTTGGTAGTGTGTCCGCATGTGATGAAGCCGTGTTTCTAAGTCCTCTATGGCGTTTTTCTCGGTCAATAAGTTAATATACGAGACTCTTAATTTACAGCCGGATCTCCACTACCGCACCAGCATGAACATAGCTTTAAATAACATAACAGCAGAGTGGCGAAATATAGTCGCATATGTCAACCATTGAAGATATTAATTGCTTCTTGTACTATCATGAAGGTAGTGCCATGTTTTAATGCCACGTTAAATAATCATATTCAAAGGGGAGTGAAGTTTAACAACATTGATGTATTTTGTCATGACCCTTTTCCCTTCTAAGGGTACAACTAGTTCTGCATTAAAGAGTACAGGATCAAACTTCAAAACCAACATTGGATGAGGTAGATATGCACGCGTTGACTAGATATATTTTGTAAATTAAGACGGATGTTCCAAAGCAGTGTGTTAGTTAGGACTACTCTGACTCCACACTTGAGTCATCTCCGTCGTGGTATTTCAGATCAGGGCTCCTGAGCTCGAGATTGGAGCGAACAAACACCAACTTCTGCACTCTGTGTACTTTGAGTCGGTTCCTACTTGTGGACACCGTTGAATTTCAACCGGTTTCGTTCGCACGCAGCGGAGAAGGGCGGGACTTGGAGAAGGCGACAAGCAATTGGTGCCAGGGGTTCAGAGGCATACAGCCCTTGCCACCACGTGGACGGTGGAATATGCTTCGCCGAGTCCTCCAATGCCTTCCTCGACCAAGCACCTGACTGGACCCGGTATTCGGCGAGATTTGACAACACTTTTCCCACATCGAGACACATCCTTTCTGCTGTCTGTGTGATGTAGTCCATTGCGTGGCGTACCTCTTCGTCACTTAAGCACCGCCCTTTGAACTTCGGGTAGAGCAAATTTGCGGCAGCATGTGCTGGACGGCAAATAAAGTTGCGTCGCTCACGCAGGATTTCTGCTACTCTTTCCTTTTCGCCCGTTGTCAAGGCAGAGTTTGGAACGGCCTCTTCGACTTGTCTTCTAACTTTGAACAGGATCTCATGGACGTCTGAGAGGACAGCAGTGTCTGACTCAGCCTCGGAAATAGCACGGGCAACTGGCTGCAACACGTGGAAGGTGCTTTGCACATCTCGCCAAAAGTAGTCTTCATCTAATATCGTTGATCTTATTTCCCTGCTCACTTGAAGCTCCGCAGCGATCACAGTTTTCTGTACAGCTTCTTTGTTCTTCAGTAAGCCTTCTAGTGACATCAAAATGCCCGCCCAGCGAGTTTCAGCTGGTAGTTTTAATGTGGTCTGGTTTCCAGCATAGCACTCTTCTTGCCTCTTAGCAAAGTGAGCCGCAACCACGTGAGAGTTTCTGACATACTTGATTACAGTCTTGGACCTCTTGCAAACTTCTTGCAATGTCACCAGTTTGAGCATGTCCGACAGCAACAAGTTTAGTCCATGAGCACAGCATCCAAGAGTAGTGATGCTAGGGTAGCGCAGACTGACGATCGTCCACGCGGCCTTCATGTTCCTTGCATTGTCGGTAACAAGAGCGAAAACCTTGTCGCTTCCAATTTTCTCCACAACCTTCACAATCTCTCCCGCGATGTAGTCTCCTGTGTGCCTGTGATCTTCCGTCTCCACGGCGCTGTAGAAAATAGGCTTCGGTGTAGCCAACACAAAGTTCAAGATGCTCTCGCCCCGTACATTGGTCCAGCTGTCCGTGAGTACAGTGACGCACAGAGCGGCGTTGACTTTCTCTTCCACCTGCGTCATCACTCGGGCATACTCGGCCTCCAAGAGTCGTCCACCTAAAGAATGCCTGGAAGGCGGCACGAATGCGGGCCTGAGGAGCTTGAACGCTTCTCGCCAGTATCTGTTTTCCGTAACTGATCAAGGCGTTCCACTGGCATATATCGCTCGA